AGTAAAGACCAGAGTGCCAAGAGAGCCTGGGGCTACAGAGACCACAGAACTAAAAAGGAAAGAAAAAAAAATGTTTGGAGGTGGGGCAGGGTGAGGAAAGACATTATAGAAATTACAGAACATGAGAGAGTAAAGGGAAGGAAGCAGAGTGCTGACTGAGGCCCTCTCCACTCCCCCCTGTATGCTGATTCCATCAAATTCCAGCTATTACTTCTTATTAGACTTTTGAAACTATTTATGCAATAGACCATTAAATTTCTATTTTTAATTTTTTCATCAAACTATGATTATAGCAATCTTTTTGCCCGTCATTTGACAATCAAACTGCTTTAAGAAAACAAACTATTTGGTCCTGATCATGAGTGTAAATGATCTCTGAAGAAGACAGAAAAAATCTCCATCCTCAGCAGCAGCTTTCCTTCCAAATGGGAAAAAGTTTAAAAGAATGATTAATTTTTGTCCGGTATTTATTATTTTAGGCACATTCCATGGATATATACTATAATGGTTTCAAATCATCTATTCTCTCAACTCATTCCTGCTTCAAAAATTTTTGCATGTGTTAATGGGTGTATTTATGTTATACCAGTGTTAATAAGCCTGTAGGAGAGACTCCATAGATAGGCATCTTTAGGTAGATTTGCAAGCAAGTTCCTCTCTCCACTGAGCACTTGAGCCTGCCAAAAAGAGCAATAAACATCAATGATGACTTTCAAATCTGTCAACTGAGGACATAAATATTATTTTTCTTCATGTATCAGGAGAGTTTAATCATTTTAAGAAGGAAGACTTAATTTAATGTTCTCCAAAGTACTTGCTCCTTTCATATCTAACTTGCTAAATATGTTATAAATCATGAATATTCTAAATTTTGCATTTATATACATTTATGCTCATAAATTGATACACTATTCTTAAAATATATCTATCTAAGAAGGATTTGATTCTAAACCAAAAAATCAGTCAAAACTATTAATAAAAACAAAGTGCAACTTTCTATTTTCAGAAAAATATATGCAGTGAAAAACACAAAAACATATTTTCTTCTTTTTTAATTTCTTCTAAAAT